GACTCTAGTGAAATGAATGTATTATTACTCAAATCCAAGTATTTTAGAGATACAATTGATTCTGTCCAATTTTTCGGTAAAGAACTTAATTTATTTCCCGACAAATCTAGCTCTTCCAGAACAGAAAGATAAGTGAACGCTTCAGCATCAATTTGATTAATTTGATTCCCTCCTAATAACAACTTTGTCAGTTTTGGTGTTTGTATAAAAGCATGCGAGAATATTCTTTCTATTTCGTTGCAACTTAAATATAGAACAGTGATATTTATTACATTTGAAATCTGCGGAATATTTTTAAGATTGTTATTACTTAGGTCGAGCGTATTCAAGAATTGTAGGTTCGCAAACGTATCTGGATACAGACTGTCTATGTTATTTGCAGATAGATTTAAGTACGACAATTTGTTGGTGTCACGGAAAGCGTCTGAAGTGACAGTTTTAATTATGTTTCCGGAGAGAGAAAGATAGCTCAGGTTTTTCAAACGTTTCAGTGTTAGGTATGAATATCCCACGTCGTACAATACATTGTTATCTATATTTAGAGCAAGTAGATTTTCTCCCTTTTCTTTTAATTGCAAAGAAGGTATGTTGTTATTGCGTAGATTTAGATATTGTAAGCTGTTTGGTAGAAAATTTACAAAAGTAGTATATCTTAATTTGTTTTCGGAGAGATCTAAAATTTTTAATTTAGGAAATGGATTATCTGAAAATGCAGGAACAAAATAAAATTGAAATAATAATTTTTTTTTTAGATCAAACAAGCTGTTATTGCGGGCAATTAAAATTTCTAAATTAGGATACTCTCCGGAAATCATAGTTGGTATTGAATATGTACTATGTGTTGCGTTATTTAGAATGAGAACCTTCAATTTCTTATGACCACCGAAACTGAAGAGTTGATCTGGATTGCCAAGTTCGTTATTAGAAAGAAAAAGATTAGTTAAACTTGAAAGTTTTCTAAATGCGTTTGGCGCGATTCTTTCAACATGATTATTTGTAAAGTTAAGGCAAACAATCAGTGGACTGCTGACGAAATCGGAACCAATTTCAGAGATCTTTGTATTGGAGAAGTTTAAAGAGATCACGCCATCCTTGCACAAATCGTCATAATCTGGAATTTTTGGGAAGATGTCGTCATTGGCTACTGAGTGTAAGGTCCAAGAGACGAAAACGCCGATTGTAAAAGCAAATCTTATAATTATCTTGGATATCTGAAAACATTATATATTAAATTAAAGATCTGTTTTTAAATTGAAACAAAAGATAGTTTTGAAGATTAGCTCTGAATGCAATAATATTCTTAATATAATTATCAGTTTTAAATGTCAAATAAAGTATTATATACATAATAAACATCATCAATTTTTTTTATGTAGTGGTTCAAATTTGAATAATTTCATGATAAAATATTTCTAAAAAAAATGTCAGAATTTATGCATTTATGCGGTAAAATTGTAATAAATATTGAACAAATTTATTTAAAAACCAGTAACATAAAACAACTTTATTAATATCAACTTGTTTTGTACAAAAAATGACAAGCATCTGTGAAATCTATTTATTGAATGTATAATATTTATTGCGTAAGTTTTGATAAAATAATATAAAATTATGTCTTACCATTGTTATAAAATGTTCTCTTTTAAAACTGCAAATTTATCACTGTTTCACATATACATACATTTTTTAGCAATATAGTTCTTGCAAGCGCACATTGAATACTATTTGAATACTATCCCAGTTATTCCGTTATATAGTCCTGATTATTAAAGATACGCCATTTATTACGTATTTTATAAGCTGGATTTTCGTTTATCAAAGTTTATCGAGAATCATATAGATACAATGTGTTTAAATAATGAATCACATAAGATAACGACAATATACATACAATACAAATATTAGCGATGTTGATAAAAAAATCTAATTTTAAAAATACTTATAAAAAGAAATTTAAATATATAATATAGATATAATTGCAATTTATATGCTATATATTCAGTAAATAAAATGTTAGTTATGTTGCCACTCGGATCGAACCGTTCGTTTTTTATAAAACCGAAACTATAACTGAATCGAAATTTGAATAATTTCATAATATACAAAATAGCCAAATCTATTGAAAGCGGATGATGTAGTAGCAAGTTTTGTATAAAATATTTCTCAAAAAAGTGTCAGAATTTATGCACGACAAAACTACAATAAATATTTAACAAATTTATTAAAAAACCAGTAATATAAAACTAAATTTATTAATATAAATTTGTTTTGTACAAAAAATGCCAAGTATCTGTGTAATTTATTTATTAAATGTATAATATTTATTGCGCAATAAGTAATAATAAAGTTTATAATACTAAAACCATAATCGGATCGGTTAAATTATTTCGGTTTACGGTTTTTTCTTTTAGTTTTTTTTCGATTTCTGCTGTATACTTTATTACTTCATTACTTTTTAAAGTATAAAAAGCATTTATTCAGAAATAATATATTTATTATTTTACATATTTCCTCGAATTCGAGACATTTTTGCCAATTTTATAGTTTTTTATATTTTTTCGAAAAAAACTTTTGAGATGAATAATACTAATGATCCAAATTTACATGCGGTCGACGAGAATGAGATTCATTTTCGACGCATTAATATCCTTGTTTGAATAAATTACACCACTTAAACGCTTGAGATCTTGAAAGACAATTACTGTAAACTCAACTCTAACTCAATTTGCAAACAAACTTTAAATCTTTCATAAATTTTGGTGGATTTTATATTTGAACTTTATTCTCGTCGGCCACGTGCAAAACTGAATACGTATTCATTGTCAGCCAAAAATCTATTTTAAAAAGGATATAAAAAAACTTTCAGAAGTTTGGAAAAAATGTTTCTAGGGAGAATATTTTTGTATTATCAAACAATAAGAAATTGGAATCAAAACCGGAACAGTTGTCAAATATTTTATTAAACTGTAATAGTAATCGAACCGAAGCAATGATGTCGGTCTGAATTCCTGGTTGACAGATTAACATTAAATTTTATTCAAATAATTATTTTATTTAAAATTATAAATCTTGTTACATTATAAATTAAAATCTTTTTGAATATTTATATTTAAATATTTATCTTACAATTAGCAACTTTTTTAAAATATCTGTCACATTATCTACAAAATACGCAAATGTAGAAAAATGCATATTTAAAAAATATTTTAATGTAATAAAAAAAAATTTTTTTATTATTAAGAAATATCTTATAGCATTTCGAGGTAAAATTTAATAAATGTATTATTATACATATATATATATATATATAAAAAACATATATCTAAATTATATCTAAAAAATTATATATAAAAACATATATCTAACTTATCTAAAGTATTAATATTTATGAATAAACAATTATTAATAACTAACAACGACAATTAACAATATAATATATTATTTGGAACTGCAGACCACTTAATGTCAGCAAATTTAAATTTTAATAATATACGGAAAAGCGTATCTTAAACAATCGCAGATATTTGATCATCAAAAATAGATATAAAATAAATATAAAATACATTTTTATATATGTATAGCATTAAAATTTTATCTTAGTAATGTTTTATGGCTCTCTACGTATGTACAGAATAAGTTCCAATTTGCAAAACTTGACCTTTCCACCAATTTTATACTAACATTTCGCGGCAAGGTCTCGAAATATGTAGAATTTAGATATTCCAGTGGATTCATCACCAGATATATCTCCACCAACGATAATGCGCTGTCTAGAGGCAAAAATTCCAGCGAAGTAATCTCATTATCACTCAAGTCTAATTGTTTTAGAGATGCTAAGTTCTTAGTCCACCCTTCCGGCAAAAAATTTAATTTATTATTTGAAAGGTCTAACATCTCCAGAACAAAAAGATAAGCGAACGCTTTACTATCAATTTCACTAATTTGATTTCCTCCTAGCAACAACTTTGTCAAATTCGGTGTTTGTACAAAGGTATTTGAGATAATTCTCTCTATTTTGTTGCAGCTTAAATATAAATTGCTGATGTTTGTTTCACCTGAGATTTGCGGAACACTTGTGAGTTTGTTGGCACTTAAATCTAACGTGTTCAAGAACTGCAATTTTGCAAACGTGTCCGGATCTAGATTTTGTATATAATTTCCGGACAGATTAAGGTACATCAATTTGTTAGTGTCCTGAAAAGCGTTCGATTCGATTAAGTTAATTTGATTTCTGGAGATGGAAAGATAGCGCAAATTTTCTAGGCTAGCTAGCCCTAGCCCATGCTCTATATTGTGGTAATATTTCTCGGTAGTAGTACTTGGTACGTACTGATATCTTAAATTCTCCCAATAATTTTCTCTTGCTCTTATACGATATCTATCATGTCTATCATTATAATTATTATATGGATCATTATATGGATCATTATGTGGATTATCATAATCATTATATGGATTATTATGTGGATTATCATAATCATTATATGGATTGTTTGGCGATTTATAATAATTTATCATTTTTTTTACTGACTTTAGATTGTTATTATTCAAGTTTAGCAGGAACAAATTTGTTCCTGTTATGTTTAAGGCAAAATAACTGAGTTGATTGGCGTGAAGGTCAAGAGAGTTTAAACTGTTCGGCAATAACTCCATAAAATTGGTGTCTCTTATATTGTTGCCGGAAAGGTCCAAGATCTTTAGTTTAGGGAATGGAATTTTTGATTGGATTCTGAGCGATTCGCTTGATATATTGAAATCAGATTTAAAATACGGAATTCTATCTGAAAGACGTATGTCCTTAAAGCCGTTTTCACGAAGAGACAAAATTTCTAAATCAGGATAATCGAAAATCTCAACTATAGATTCATCTTCAAATTTGCTAGTTGCGTTGTTTATAATAAGAACTTTTAACTTTTTGTGATCTCCAAAATTGAATAGTTGACTTGAGCTGCGAAAAATATTGTCAGAAAGATATAGATAAGTTAAATTAGGAAGTTTCTCGAAGGCGCCGTTTTCGATGTTTTTGATGTAAATATTTGCCAGATTGAGGCAAGTAATTAAAGAGCTGCTAATAAACTTTGGGCCAATGTTGGAAATGTTTGTATGTAAAGTAACAGTGTCCTGGCACGTAGATAAAAATGACTGATTCATGTCATTTGGAAATTGTAGAAAATCATCTGCTTGTGCGGTCAAAAAGACGAATATGGCTAATATAAAAGCAAGTCTTGTGATTTTCTCAGATGCCTGAAAACATATTAAAAAATATCTGTTTTAAATTTTGATAAAAATTAGTTTGTTTTGAATTCTATGACT